GGATGATTGAGTATCGGAGTGGAGTTGAATGTTTTCTGTAAGTGTGATCGGAAGGTATCCGCGACATCTGCTTGGTATGTGGCAGTCGATCCGTTTGGATTAGTGAGAGCTAACGGGCACAGAGAGAGCTTACGCAAGCTATGAACGTATTTAAAGAAGAAAAGCTTATTGTTTCGAGGATAGCTCTTTGGATGTACCTGTGATGCTCCCGAATTTTGTGTCGACAGAGGTTTCTAACTTGTTTAAAAGCACCTCCGTCGTCCGTGAGGCGAGTATTCATATATCTCGCAAAATGCTTGGCCCTTGTATCTAAAACCCGGCGAATTGGGCGAGGGAGATGGGGTTAGGCATTAGACGTGATTCGAATTCGGGGAAAAAATTGCGAGTCTGCAAGAAAGATCACCTGTTCTATGTGCCTGGTGAGGCCAACAACAGACATTTCAGAAGGAGGGCAGATATGCAGTTGCAGAAACCGGTTTACACTCTCGAAGTTTGTTTTTTGAAGGAACGAAAGTATTGAGTGTTATCGCTTAACATGTTCCAGGTAACTATATAGTCAAAAGTTAATGAGACATGATCACTTTTAGCAAAAGGTGAAAGCTAGTTAATGACATCAACCTGGTGTCTTTCGTTGGTGGTGACTAGGTCTAGTAAAGATGGTGTTTGTCCTTGACGGAACCTGGTCGGAATAGACACATGCTGCGTCCGGGATTTCTCGACAAGAAGGTCAATAAGCGGGCGGCCGAGGGAGACATCTGTTGAGAACGTCTTTTGCCAGTCTATGCCTGGGCAGTTGAAATCACCTACTATGAGAAGGTGATAATGTTTGCAGCTTTCCAAAGCAGACATAAACAGGTCTATCAGGAGCTGGTTCTCCAGTATAGTGGATTGTGGTGGGCGATAGACTAGGCATATCAGGAAGTTGATCGTCTTGGAGATCTGAAAACAAATCCACAGACGATCTATGATAGGGATAGGATCCGAGTTTATGATGATTGGAGGAGGGAGATAATTCTTAAAATAAATTATAACTCCACCTGCTCTTCCGCGGGTGGAGTCTTTTCTAATCAGGGAATAGCCTGGTACGGTTACTTCGCCATCGGCAAAGTCCGCCGTGAGCCAGGTTTCTGTTAGTAGTAAAAAGTCTAGGTTATTGTCTGGTGCAAGCTCGCTCAATTCTCGAATCTTATTGGGGAGGCTGAGGCAGCTGCAATAAAAGCATTTAAAAAATTCGCTCATCATGGGGCGAAACGAGGAGAGAAGGTGTTGAAGGGCGTTGATGGGTTGGGTTGCTGGGGACATAAGGGAAGGAACCCTGGGTGCTGTCTATCGGAGTTTCTGTTAGACACCTACGTGCAGGAAGGTCGGGGGTTTCTCGAATGGGCGAACTTGGTTTGGCCGCCTTTCTGGGGGGGGCGACCCTTCGGAGCCTCCATACGAAAAGTTGATTTCATTTTGGAGGAGGATACGGAAGTTGGGAGGAAAGGAAGAGCTTTAGAAAATTTGGTTGGCTTCGGGAGGGTTTGAGAGACAGTCTTGAGTTTCTGTTCGGTGTCAACAGGCAACTGGGGCGATTTTTTTCGGTGACCAGGTTACTTTATAGGACGAAGGGATCACAAAGTAGGCCGTTTTTTTACTACGGGGGGCCTTGATCGCTCTGGATCGGGTTTGTGTTATCTGGATTGTGGTCCTGTGGACCGTAAGCACCGACGTCTTTTCTCTGCGGTTGATCCCTGAGTGCGCAGCACATAGATTTGTGTTCGCCGAGCTGCGTGCTACTGGCTTGAGGCAGACTACTGTCCCTTTTAATGGGAAAACTTGGGGTGAGATGGGGTGTGAGTGTGTTACGTCATTTTCCAGATGTATGACCGGCACGAAGGCGCTTCGGAGAAGCTTGGAGTCTGTCGAGGGGTAAGAGGGGGCGTTCTGTTTCGAAACAAGGAGCCTAAGGTGAAGGGGTTTATCGACCGACACCCGTCTAAGACCATTGCAGGATCGTTTCAGGGATGGAGCAAACGTAATGAGCTTACGGGCTGTAGAAGGAGAGCTGTGGAGAGTTTTTCTTTTTTTTGGAATAAGCCACGAGCATTTGCCGGGTTGCTATTGGTTTTTGTGCACTCTCAAGAATTAAGATAGAAAGGCGTTCACGATTTCCTCATCCGTGTTGAGCAGTTTGTCTTGCACTCGTTGTACGCTACCGATCTCTTTCTTTGTGGAAGACCTTGCTCGTACGTACCCGAAGTAACGTTTTGAGTTCAGCTTAGCGTCTCTTGCGATTCCAAGTTCGTATGTCTGTCTAACCTTTATGGAAATATTGATCCCTTGGTTTCTTGGGATTTTGTATCTTCTTTTGTATCTTCTAAACCGAACCTCTATCAGTACACCGATTCAGCTTCAAAGCTGTATCTGTGGAACACATTCCACCTTGGTACATATTCTCAGAAGTATTGTGTCCACTTATTCATTACCGAAACTATGCTCGCCTCGCTTTCTCTCGAATCATTTGACTAAACTTCGTACACGTGCAAACCAGGTTGCTGTGACCACTTTCTAAACCGAACCTCTATCAGTACACCGATTCAGCTTCAAAGCTGTATCTGTGGAACACATTCCACCTTGGTGAATACTCTCAGAAGTATTGAGACCACTTGTTCATCAGCAGAACCATTCTTCACTTCGATTTCGCCCGAGTGATTATGCCAAACTTCGTGGTCTATTTCCCTGCATGCCTATCGGTTTTATAATCGTTTTTACGTGTACTTACCTAGCTGTACTTATACAAGTATATATACAGGCTTATACCATCCCTATTATTCTACTTTGCCCATTGATTTGTGACATGCTGTCTCTCCCCTTATCCCTTCTCAGCTGGCTATTATCCCAGACTGTTCAGTATGTCTCTTTTGTTCCAGATACGGTTGGCTTGGACCTGTCGAAGGCTTGGGGTCTAAACCCACGATGGAAAATTTTGGCCCTGGCAGTGGATGCTGGGCATGGCTGTTCCGATGGTTTTGTCCGCATGCGTCCGCATCCCGGCAAACGTATGAACTCACTGGACTCCTTCCTATTTATCCTTATCCTTGTGACTCCATTTTCCCCGTCTATTGTCCGACATTTTGTCTCTCCGTATCTTCTCCCATTAGAGCCGCACTTCGAATCCCCACGATAACGGGTTAACAGTTACTTCAATTTCGATTGTTATAATTATACAGCACATTCTTCCATCCTCCATACCAACGTTTGTGACCTCGTCCGCTTTGTGTTCCGTTTACACAGCGTTTTCGTTCTGCTCCCCTACCATCTCCAGTATGTAGGCTTTCCAAGTAGTTTATCTATTTACCTGTACTGTCGTTGTACATATGATTATTTTGAACACATGGTCATGCCTTGTGCATGCTTCACGGGTTTCGTGAAATATACATTATTATTATTATCAATATATGAGGCAAAATTCTGGAGCTTGATG